GGCGGAGAGTGTGTGAAAGAGTAGAAGCTGGTTTCCTTAGGGATAGAGGATCCAACCAAAATATCTCAGGGTTCAGAATTCATTGGAAATAGGCATGCCAAAACAGAAACAAGCAGAGACAGGATGCCTGCAAATATAGGTGCATGGTCCATAGGGTTCAGAGAGTTTATCACAGATTTGATATCCTCAACAGGTTAAGTTTTAAAGAGACAGTTTCAAATCATCCAAATTTATACCCGGGCAGAGAACCATTACTTTAAATGGTATGTATCAAAGCATGTGTTTTTCAAAACACAGGCGTTCTGTTCTGCTTTAAATAAGTAACTGTACCTCCTCATAAGAATAGAGCATATTTTACAGAGAATTATCCTATCAAAAAGCTGGTATCACATAGAATTATGTGTGTAGTTTGTGATTAAGTGAGTTTTTCTGCAGTTCATGTGATAAAGTACAAGTTTCATTTCAGAAAAGAGACAGGACTGTTCTTGTCTAACAAATCCAGCTCCCTGCAACAAGTAGGCACACCTGTTGTGGCCAGACAGAAAAGAGGAGGGAGAAGGAGGAGGACAGGCAATGATTGCATCTTGTGTAAGCTTCTGCTTGTGGGGTCCACACTGCCACCCATGGCCTTGCATACTTTGGCTGGCTGTTTGGTGTTGGGACAGGCTGAGGTGGTGGGGCTGGCTAAGTATGCTGGAAGAAAAATTTATTTCTGGTCCATGGAGACCTTGGAAGGAGACTGCTGAAGAGGTGCCAGGCATTTGGTGTCCTTTACCAGTACACCTGCCCTGCCACCTAGAGTTTTCATATTCTGATTTCCATTGGGTAGGTGCTGGTTATCAGGGTGAGACAGAATATTATCCAAGGTTTGATTGGCTGAAGGACCCTGGGTTTTTTACTTTCCAAAATGCATATGTTTGCTTTTACTATTATGTGCATATCTACTGTGTGAGTGTGTGTGTGGGGTTTGGAGATCCCTGCATGACCCTAAAGGAGGGGTCCCATTACAATGTGCTGTGGGGTTCACTGCCACCAAGCCTGGCTGTCTGCAGCACCTGTTGTTCTTCCCACATGCCATCCAAGATCTGAAATCAATAAAGTTGTGGCCAGATTTTCTATACTTCAGTGTTTCTATGTTGGCCTCTCCCTGCCCTTCTGGTTGGTCTCTGCTTCAGGCACAATCACTAATTTGATGAGAGGTGAGAAAGTGGGAACTCCTGCTGTGCATGCTAAGCTTAAGCCTCTCTTTAGTGGTCAAGGGAACAGAAAAGGAATCTTAGCTGCTCAGGCTTTTGAGTGGGGAATGAGTGGCGATGTAGCGATGACAGCAGTGAGGGCGAAACCTCTCCCAATTGCTCTCCTCCAGCAACTGACATTCAGAGGTATAATGACTCCAAACACTGAGGTGCCATCTAACCATCAAGTCTAATAACCACTGATGGAACTATCTTCCATGAACATTTGTCTGTCTTGCCTTTCACGTTAGTTTAGCAATAGAAAATGGGCAATTAAGGGCTAGAATGTATAAATCAGATCCTGCTGTAATATTTTCCATTTCTTAAATACAAAGACTTTTATATGGAGCACATGATAATATCTATAAAACATAGGGAAAAGCCGTCGGCTACTTGATTGGGTAAAAAGTTGTTTTAAAACTCTCATTCAAATTTTGTTCTTGATTTTAGAATCTGCAGGGGTCAAAGAATTGTGAAATGTTTTCTGGTGGTGGAAAGGACCAAGACTGCCCACAAAATATATTAAAACAATGCATTATCTACTCATCTTCTCCAGAAATCCTAATTCCCTTTTCTTTGTGCGTATATGTGAGCTGTCTGACATATCTACTCACATGACTGTATGCATATGGTTGCATGATTTTAGAATCTGCACCTCACCTTTGATGCTCTGAATGTGTGGACATTGTTAACATTCCTTCCTTTTTTTTGTTAATGAGCAATTAAAAGTGATTGTAGATTGGACATTTTGCAAATACACTCAGCTGTACAAACTTGAACATGTAGAATGAGGCAGTGTGGTATAATAAACTATTTGTACTAGGATCTGGGGGACCACACTTGATCAAAAAGCTTGCTGGGTGACCTTGGACCAGTCACTCTCTCTTTCTCAGCCTAACATAACTTTACAGGGTTGTTGTTAGAATAAAAAGGGGAAAGCAGAACTGTGTATGATTCTCTGAGCTCCCTTGAGTTAAAAATGAGTTAGATCGATAGACAACACCATTGGTTTCTGCTCCACTTTCCCATGTGTGCTTGAACACAGACTAAGTGACAACTGTACATTAATGCCCTTAGGTGCATTATGAAATGGAAGGCAGTAATATCACTGGTTATAAACTGTCTAGGTGTTACTGCTACGTGGCTCACAACACATGAGGAAAGGGAATGAGTGATGGTATAGGTAGTTCCATGGGGTACTATAATGTAGTTGGCTAATGCCTTACCAGTTTTGCCTCTTAAAGCACTGGACTGTATGTTGCTTGCAGTGAAGGCAGCTAGTCCTATCTGCGCTATTTAATCCTGACCTCGTTTTAAAGATGCTAAGACATAGTTGGCTCATGCAGGCATACTTCAAGGCAGCGGATAGAGGGCAAGAGTCAGCAGGTTCTGCTATGTAGGCTTCACATATTCACACAGGGAAATGAGCAGAACACTGGCAGCAGCCCTTGGCTCATCCTGTGGACAAACTGGGTCATCAGTGAAGCAAAAAATGGTTGTGCTGAAACCCTTCAAGTGTTAACTTTCTGGAGAAGGCTTTCAGTTAACAGTTGGACTTTGACCTTGAGGAAACAGTGTCCATTTCTTTTGAATACATCTTATTCTGATTTCCAAAGCCTTCAGGGATATGCGTGCATGCTTGAACTGTTCTGCACTTGTGATCTTCTGTTATTTTTCTTCTGTAATTTATGGAGCTTCTGTATCAATGTATCCAGAAGCCTTTATATAAAAAAAATCTGCAGGCTGTTATTAATAACAAGACATTATTTAATATGTTTTAGCAATAACGAATGCTACTGTTGATACAAAGAACATGATCTGGAATAAATGGTAATGCACATTCATTCAAACAAACAGATATCAATAGTGGCACCAAAAGGGAGCCATCTCCTTCACATATCTGATGTGAGCTTTGACGTTAGAAAGCTTGTATCCCCAAGATCTTGTTGGTCTCTCGGGCACAGCTGGACTCTAATCTCGCTCTTCTACTGCAGGCCAACAAGGCTACCCTCTGAAACTGTCTCCTTCACATATCTAACCTTGAGGTTTCATTGGCTCCACTAGCTGAGATTTTTTAATGGAGCAGGGATTTAGGGTGGAAATATTTTGAGGTTCCCAAACTGAGACTGCAAATAATTTGTAACAAATTCTCCCCACATTTTACTTTGATGAAACATGTTATGTGTGTGTGTGTGTGTGTTTTAAAAAACCATGAATTGTAATCCCTTCCCTTACCAGAAGAAGTAATAATAATAATACTGTTGGGCTGTCTTGCATGTTCCCTGATAAAATGAGATCAGCTGTAATGATGATTACAAGGATTTTTGCAAATTCACGGGAGAAGGCGGGGCAAAGACGGCGTGTAAAGAATACACCTACTCAGCCCGTCACTTCACTGGCTTGGATTTGAAAGCGTGAGTTTCTCTCTCTCTCAGAGGGAGAAGCGGCCGCGCGTCCTTTTGCCCGCGTCGCCAGCAGGGACCGAGTGTGTGAACGAGAGACAGCAAGACAGAGCGGGGGAGGTCCTTGCCGGGCTGGCACCGCGGGATGGCAGGGAGTGACGTCACCTCCCCCCCTCGAGTGTGCGTGCGCCTGTGCTTTCCTCGCTTCTTATGTCTTCCCTCTGACCGCGGTCCAGGCTGCCAGAGAGACGCCGGGTGGCTCGCTGGTTCTCCCTCTCTCCGTCCCTCTCTCCGTTGCTCCCCCTTCCTCCGCGTACCTTTTCCACTCACTCTCCTAAACGTCCGGCTCTGCAACAAGCTTTTCTCTGAACACTGCGGGCGCGGGGGGGGGGGAGTCAATCCTGTGAGCTGCGTAGCATAAGAGGATTTACAGACAGCAATAATAAATGTTCCTTAAAAAAAAAACCAAACCCCTGTCGAGAGCCAGGGAGCGCGCGCGAGAGAGAGCAGCGGCAGCATCTCGCGTACTTTCTCCCTCTCTCTCTCCCCGCCAGCACCCTCAGTCCTCTTTTCTCCCAAGAGGAGTCCAAAGGGATTTGGGGGGCGCGCGGGGGGGGGCGCTTCTGGCCGGCATTTCAGTTCTCCGACATCTCTGCTTCTTCGACAGTCCAGAGGAGCCCCCCCAGATTCCTAAATTGCCCTTGGATCGGGAGGGAGAGCTTGCGCCCTGCACTTTGAGAGATTGCTTCCCTCTCTACCTCTGTTTCACTTTTTTTTCTTTTGGGAGGAGGAGAGAATCCGGTTTCTATTTGTAGCTAAAGAATGGACTAAATTAAGAGGGGCAGAAGGGTGGGGGGGAGAAGAAGAGAGAGAAAAGGGAGGGGGGAATCAGAGGAGGAGGAGGAGAAGGGGGAGGGGGAAGCGGAGCGAGTGCCCGGGAGCAGCGGCGGCGGCGGCGGCAGCAGCAAGAAGAAGAAGAAGAAGAAGAGAGCAGAGCGGAGGAAGAGAAACAGCGGCTGGAGGGGAAGCCCGGCTGCCAGGGGAGTTCAGACGGCCACTCAACCGCCCCGACTGCTCTCGACCCCTCGGACTGTCTCCTCAGAGGCCGCCCGCCACTTTCCCGCGTTGGACCGTCGGCGAGAAGAGCGACACCCCCCCCTCCGCCCGCCCGCTCCCCCCGGCAGCCACAGCCAGGAGCGACCCGGGGGCTCTCGGCTTGGAGCCGCCGCTCGGCTTTGGATTAAATTGGCCGCCCGAGAGACGAGCCAGAGCGGGAGGGAAAGGTGGCCGCGGCGGCAGCAGCAGCAGCAGCAAAGATGTGTCGCAGAAGCGCCTGTGGGCAGTGGCGGGCGGGCGGGCGGGAATGCGGACTTGCTTGGCGGTGTCGGTGGCGGCGGCGGCGCTGCTGCCACTGGGACTGAGGGGGAGCCAGCATGACCAGGTAATTCTCTCGCTGCTGGACCCCCCCCCTTCCTTCTTTCTTTCTTTCTGGCCCTTCCTGGCATCTCTCCGGAGTGCGTGTGCAGTCGCGAGACAGCCATGTGCATTTCTCAATTACTCCCTCTCCTCTTTTAGACACGTTGATGCCCTCCCTTGTAGACCGGGGGGGGGGGTCGAGCCTCCAAACAGGACTGGTAGGAAGGCACATTTGGGAGGAGAAGGGGCTGGCGGCGTCGCTGGGCTGCACGCGACGAGGGGGCTGCGTTGTATATGCTGCGTGTAGGTCATGGTTATTGTCATGCGAGGGGAAAGGGGGTGTCTTGTGTTTAAGGGTCGCGTTAGGATGTGCCCTGAGTGATGGTTATTGTAGTGGCAGACGGGGACCGTTATCTTAGGCTGTCTGGTGCATGTGGGGGGAGAGGGAATTCTTGGATTGCACGCTGGAACAAATAAGGGTTCCTCCTCTCTTTGTCATATGGTGTTGGGGGAAGAAAACCCATAGCTTTTAAATGAGTTCTTTCAAAAAAAGAAGCCAAGGAAAGTACTTTTGCCTACCGGGTTGTCAGGCTTCTCCGAGTGCTTTTTCTGTGGTAAACTTATTGGATCCCAGTTCTAACCTTGTGCCTCCTTCCCTTCAGCCTCCATCGATTTCCAAGTTGCCTTCTCACACTTGTTACAGTTCTTATTTTGTCCTTCCTCCCCAGCCCCAATGACTAGCTGACTTAACAAGTCATAATCACTGCAAAACCTGCCCTCCAAACTCTTCCGTTCTGCTGGTGCTAGTGTTACTTCTGAAGAGTGCAGGGGCACCAACAGGCATTATTTCAGGGGTTTGCACGTTTTATAGTCTCTTCAGGACTGCATTTGTTAGCAACTTTCCTCTATAAATATACAAAACAGAAATGTATGCTTTTGACATGGAATAAGAGTGTTCACCCCAGCAGAGTGCAGCCTGGAGATTCTATGCAGTTTCAGTATCTGTGTGAGGCAGTGCAACATTTATGATGAGTTCCTCGAAAGAAAGTGATTTTGCTTTGAAAATCTTTAATTATGTGCTGTATGGATTAGTTTTTGTTGTTGCTTGAGACTGTGCACTCTGGAAATAGCATAGATATAAGAAATCTGGCCCTCTTGTCAATTACTTTTACCCCATTTTCTGTTTAGTCATAAGTAAGTTTTTTGTTTGTATTCAGATATAGAAATACAACGCAAAGGTTAACATGAATAGAAATTGTTTATTTCTTTTGATGTCTGGCAAAAGACCTGCAATTTGTAATATTCTCCTTTCTTGGTATAAACGGGGTTTAGACTATAGCTTTCAGACTTTTTAGTGGCTTTGGAAGGCATAAGGCATATTGTTACAACAGGTTTATGTAAAACAGCAACCCCCTAAAAGGTTGTCTCCTCTGAAAATAATCAGTTGTTTGTAGCTGTTTTGGAAGAAAACTGTCCATTTCATCACAATTCCTTTAAATTCATTCTGATGAGATGTACAGCACTGCTGTTGTAGTTTTCAAATGTAAAATTGATAGACTGGTCAAAGCCATAAGTTCAGTTGTCAGATTCTTTCCAAGTAAACTACTGTAAGCATCAGTTATCATTCCGCATATTGTATTTTTCAAGGAACTAGGTCCTGTAGCTGCCTTTTACAAAGAGACGGGAGACACAGTTAATTGGATATGCTTTCTAATAGTAATCCTGTCACTTGTGGAGGTGTATATATATATAGGTACTTTCCATTCAGAATGATATATGGCTTGTTCACATCCTTTGAGAGCTTTACAGTGCAGTCCTGTGTAGAATTACTTCAGTCTAAGGCCATTGAAATCAATGGCCTTAGACTGGAATAACTCTTAATAGAATTACACTGCTAGCTAAGACTTCTGTTTTAAGATGCTTGAAG